GGCTATTAAACAATGTAGAAAAGAAGATTGAATCGGAGACAAACCAGGAAGAGGGTGCCAGTCATGGTCCTGGGTGATCCATCAAAAGGAAGTCAACGGGTACGACTTATCGGAGTTATCGCGATGGAAGAATGTCACGCAGAAGCTTCATTGCCATTCCTATCCCACGTACAAAAATTCCACTTCATTTCCGGTCTCAACAGACAGTGTAGGGTGAAAAATGCAGAAGGTTGTTGACTCGCTTGAGTTGAGTTGAGCAAATACACTCTTCAAAAAATAAAACGATCATGTGTCGTATAGAATTATCGAACGTGCAATTTCTCACAAAAATCTACTATAAGAACAGTAAAATGATGTTTCTTGAGAGAGTCATTGGTAAGGGTGAGACGCTCGTGGTTTCGTCGGTGCCGTCGTGAAAATTGAGAAAGACTTGCGCTTAAAGGGCACACTGAAGGTAGTAATGAAGGACTAATCCAAATCCGCATCCTGAAACATCTCGCAGTCCTCCCAGCAAGATTATACTTCAGCCCACAGAGCTAAACTTTCCTGGGCAAGGTGCCGACGTTAGCTGCCCGACTTCATTAACGAGAGGAATAGCCATCTTGCTCTCTAGATCTTAACTCATTTAACTCCTACGTATTGTCGCTGATTAGAAGAGGAACTGTCGTGTTCCAATCCCAGTTTGGAGTCCTACAAAGCAAAACTCAAAAAAGGCTGGGAAGAAATGGGGGAGGATACCTGTGTATAACATACGAGATGTTCGAGAGCAAACTTTGGGCCCGTATCCACGCTAGTGGGGGATATCTCGAAATGTGACTATAGCATGTTGTAGCACATGACGTGAGCAAACGTGTATATAAATTTCTTGGCCATTCACAGCTGAGAAGCTTCAAGCACATTGCTATGCATTGACGCCCATAATTTTGGGTCACCCTGCATTTGATTATAGAACGTTTTTGAAGAAAATAATCGAAGCAAAACCTGCCCGTCCACTTAAGTGCTAACCTCGCCAACTCTGATTATTTGACCACATTCCTCTATAGCCTCCTTCGGCATCCTAAAGCGAAATTTGAACAGACTTATGAACCTTTACTTTCAACCCCGCCACCACAGTGATCCTGCCCGCTATGGTAATTTGGATACCATAATGCGACCGCTTCGCCTACATTGAATGAGTCTACTTCGTTTTGTTTATTGACCCATTTATTGATCTTTGCAAACTTGTTCCATTTGAGCTGTTATGCAACCAACAAGGTGTGGAGGTCGACGATCCGGTAACGGGACACCAGTTATGCCTATTAGCGTTTTTCGGCCCGACAGCGTCATTTGTGTCACCCTTGGAGGCCACTGGGTAATCCTAAAAGGAAGCCTTAGGAACTATTTTTATCTTGAACTGTGCCTTTATTGGGTAAAAACCCCGTAAGTATCATACTGCCCGCATGTCGATATGCACCAAGTCAAAAGCTATTGCCAGAGGAGATGAACAGCGATAA